ATACACGCACACATATAACGGCGCACCGGGTCCGGGGGCCCGGGGCCGGGACCTCGACCACAAATGTGGGCCCCGGGGGGCCCGGAGGCTCGTCGGACCGCCGGACGCAGTCCAAGATCGTTCGCAGGCGGCTTCGGAACGCGCTCCGATGGCTCCAGATGCCTTCCAAGACGCCTGTCATGACACCAAGAAGGTCCCAGAAGCCTCCAAGACGCTCCGAGAGGCAGCCCAAGAGAGGCCCAAGAAGCAAAAATCGTGCCATTCCTATGGGAAGACGTATATTTTTCGCATGTTCGCCTCTTGGGCTTTCACCGCGTCCTAGACGGCCCAAGAGGGCGCAGACAACACGGTTACGAGGCCTCGGGAGCGCTCCAACGGCTGGAGCCAACGAGTGGCCCAGGACTGGCCCCCCCAGAAAAGACGTGCCAGAGAGCCCCAATGACGGTTCGAGAGGGGTCCCAGACGGAGAAAGCTAACCTCGATTTTGTTTTCTTTTTTTTCTTTTTCTCTTTTTACATTATTTGTTTTTTTTCTTTTTCTCTTTCTCTGTTTCTTTTTTTTTTTCTTTTCTTTCTTTCGACTTCTTTGTTCCCTTTTTTCTTTTTTTTTTTTTGTTTATCTTTTGTGTTCTCCTTTTTCTTTCTTTCTTTTTTGTCCTTGTATTTTCTTTCTCTTCTTTTTTTTTTTGATTCTTTTCTTCCCTCTTTTTTTCTTTTTTTTTTTTTCTTTTTCTTTTTTTCGAATTCCGAGCTTCCGGCCCAAGAGGCTCCAGGAGGCGCCAAATGCCGCCAAGAGGCGCCAAAAGGCTCCCAAAAGCACCCCAAGACGTTCCGAGAGGCACCCCAAGAGAGGTCCAAGAAACAAAAATCGTGCCATTCCTGTGGGAAAGCGTATATTTTTCGCATGTTCGCATCTTGGGCTTTCACCGCGTCCAAGATGGCCCAAGAGGCCTCCAAGACGGCCTAGGAGGCTTCCGGGAGCGCTCCAAGGCTGCGCGCGAGTGGTTCAGGACGGCCCCAAGACGGCCCAAGAGAACCCCAAGACGACCTCGAGAGGGGTCCCAGAAGGAGAAAGCCACTCTCGAATTCCGAGCTTCCGGCCCAACACATCCCAGGAGGCGCCAAAACGCCGCCCAGAGGCTTCCAAAATCAGCCCAAGACGTTCCGAGAGGCACCCCAACAGAGGTCCAAGAAGCAAAAATGGTCCCATTCCTATGGGAAAACGTATACTTTTCGCATGGTCGCCTGTTGGGTTTTCACCGCGTCCAACACGTCCGAAGAGGCTCCCAAGACGGCCTAGGTGGCCCCCAAGAGAGTTCCAAGACGGGTCACGAGGCGCCCAGGACGGCAAAATTGGACTCCAAAATGGCCTAAGAGAGCCCCAAGGCGTGCCCGAGAGGGGTCCCAGAGGGAGAAAGCCACTGTAGAATTCCGAGCTTTCGGCCCCAAGAGGCTCCAGGAGGCGCCAAGAGAGCTCCAAGAAGCCCCCACGAGAGACCCATGACGCCCCAAGAGGCTCCAAAGGCGGCCCAAGAGAGCCCCAAGATGGGCCCGAGAGGGGTTCCACGCAAGTTGTTATTGTATCGCTCGGGAAAGGACGAGGATGAGGAGGAAGACGAGGAGGAGGAGGAGGAGGAGGAGGAGGAGGAGGAGAGGGAGGAGGAGGAAGAGGAGGAGCAGGAGAAGGAGGAGGAGGGGTGCTGTGGACGCCGCCGAAGCTTCCCGGGGAGTCCTGGGGGCACCTTGGTCTAGGGCCCCTCGTCGCAGCGGCTGGGCGCAGCCCGAAACGTTGGAGCGTTCGGAGTCCCGGGGTCGATTTTGAGACGACTTTGCGTTTCCAGTGTCTCGCCCTTCTCCTCGACAGTCGAAGGCCAGACTGACAGATTGCCTTGGGTTCCAGGGGCCACTCTGGCGTGGCCAGGTTGGAGGTTTTTCCTTGCTGGCCAGTCTGTAACCTCGTTGGCTCCCTCGCCAGATTGCCAACTTTTGCCAGAATGGGGCCGCCAGATTGGCTTCAACTTCGCGTCCCAAGATTTCAGTGTCTCGCTCTTCTCCTGGACAGTCGAAGGCCAGGTTGACAGATTGCCTTGGGTTCCAGGGGCCACCCTGGCTTGGCCAGGTTGGAGGTTTTCCCTTGCTCGCCAGTCTGTAACTTCGCTGGCCCTCCGCCAGATTGCCAACTGTTGCCAGATTGGGGCCGCCAGATTGGCTTCGACTTCGCGTCCCAAGATTTCAGTGTCTCGCCCTTCTCCTGGGTAGCCGAAGGCCAGACTAACAGATTGCCTTGGGATCCAGGGCCACTCTGGCGTGGCCAGGTTGGAGATGTCTACTTGCTCGCCAGTATGTTACCTCGCTGGCTCCCCCGCCAGATTCCCACTTTTTGCCCGATCGGGGCCGCCAGATTGGCGCCAGATTGGCTTCGACTTCGCGTCCCCAATTTCTTCTCACAACGATTCCTGGGTCTGTGACCCGACAGAACCTAGGCGCGCGCGGAGCGCGCGTGGTTCTAGTATATATATATATAGATATATGTGTGTGCACATCTCACACACACTCATGGTTCCCTTACAATGATGCGCAAAACGCGCTTGCACTCTGGCTCTTGCGGGGTTTTTCAGAAACCGTCGGCTTTCGGCGGGTTCATGGCGCGCCGTGACGCGGGCGTCGTCGCGCGCGCGTCATAATCCCAAGAACGCCAGCGCGCGCGTTGTCGCGGGCGGGACAAAATCACGCGGCCAGTGCACGCGCGCGCGTTGTCTCGCGCGCGTGCTGAAATCCGTTGCGAACCTTAGGCGTCGCAAAGATATCAACGCCTAGCGTCTCGAGTGTCTAGCCAAACCCATTACGGTCGCTATCGTAAGCTCCCGCGGTCTGTCGCACTCCCCTCGTCGTGGGTTTCCCAGCTCCAGCCGTCTTTGCTCCGTCACTTCGCCCCTCGTCAATTTCAGTCCCAGATTCAACCGCCTCGCCCCGCATCCCAAGGTTTTCGAATGGTTTCGTTGGGCCGTCTTTTTTGTTTTCCAGCTTCAGCTGAGGTATGTTGGAACCCTCCATCAGGGCCCCAACACGGCCTACACCATGTTCCTGGAGTTCTTTCCAGAACACAATTGTCGCCGCCATTCTTGCGAGGAAACCGAAGAGGAGGAGAGAGTCTGCGCCATCCCACCGAGCCTCCCAATTATATATAGCTTTGCCGAGGGGGCCATTCACAGTGGAACCGAGGTCGGGCCCGCGGCCCCGATGCAAGTGGACTCGCAGTAGATGGTACACCCCCGTCTGCCAAGTCTCACACTCCTTGCCGTGACCTTCCAGTTTCTACCGTACTTGTTTCACCATTGGGCCGTCCTTCGGGCTTGGCACCGGCGTTGGGGCAACCGTGAATCCGAGGCCCCCAACGCGGCCCACACCATCATGCTCCCGGAGGGCCTTCACGGAACACGATTGTCGCCTCCAGCCCGACGAGGAGACCGAAGAGGAGGAAGAGGAGGTGGAGGAGGAGGACGAGGACGAAGACAGGACAACGGCAAACATATTCAAACCGTGAAGCACAGCATGACGATGAGCCAGACGCCAACAATGAAGATGCCGGCCCACGCGTGCCCCATGGCGGCCCCAGGGGCGCCCCAGACGGCCCAGAATGGTCAAAGACAGAGACTTAGAAACGGCCCCCCAAAGGCCACCGCGCGGCTTTTGTCAACATCCCACCGAACATTCTACAGGTTGCCGACCCACGATCCAGGGACGGCGGCGGGATGGGCCGTAACCTATTCCAGTTTGCGTCGTGGGCCCTCCGCGGATATCCTCACACCCTCCTCCGCTTGGCCTTGCCAGCTCCAGCCGCTTTTTCTCTACGCGTCACACCCCCCCTGTTTCATGCCCAAGGTTTTCCTACTGATTCTATTGGGCCGTCCTGCTGGATTTGCAGCCTCACATGGGGCGACTGGCGGCGACAAACATGTTCCCGGAAAGCCTGCGGGGAACATGATTGTCGCCGTTCGTCGAACGAGGGCGAGGACGGGATGAGGAGCGCGGAGGCAGAGCACGCAGGTGACGGTAACGAGGATGAGGGTAAAGAGGAAGAGGCGGAGGGCGAGGAGGAGGAGGAGGAGGAAGAGGAGGATGAGGAGGGGGAAGAGGAGGATACCAACACATCGAGAAGCGAAAGGACGGGAATGAATGAGGAATCTTTAGTCATCGGTTGATCCATCCCTGTCGCCATTTCCCGTCCTCTCCCCGTTTGCCTCCCCTCCCCATTTGTTCCGTCCTTTCCTGTCTGCCACTTTCCCTTCCTTCTCCTTCTCTACCTCCTCCCTCTTCCCCCACCCGCGACCCGACGATGACGGCGGCGACGACGGCGCCCACGACAATGTCGACGCCGTGATTGCGCCCGCCTGCCATGAGGGTGGCTGAGGATAGAAGTTTGACTATGAGTTTTTTGGAATTGATTGGAGATTAAGCGTGCGCGCGTAGTGCGCGCGTGATTCTAGCGGAGCGCGCGTGATTATTGTTAATATTATTATTACTAGTATCAGTATTCGTAATAGTATTATTATGTTGCATATATGTTTAAGTATATGTCTGTCTGTATGTATGTATGGATGTATGAATATATGCACGTATGTATAGATGTATGCATATATGTATATGTGTATATGCATGTGCATGTGCATGTATGCATGCATGTGTACATGATTGTTTGCACATGCATATGTATATACAGATGCCTGCGGCACTATGACAAGCATTGTGTGCTGTCTTTGCTTCTGCGGCCAGTGATATATTGCACCAGTTCTGGGCCTGCAGCCGTTTTCGCTGGGGGGCATGGCATTGGGCTGGTCCTCTGTTCCTATGCGTAGGCGACCGAGCGGATATGATCGGCAGGTATACGTGCAATCACTGTTTTCTGATCGCAACCTCAGCATGTTTCTACCAGCGCGTAGGATAAGTAATCAGAGTTGGATTGCCACTTCGTGTCTGATGCAATGTCAGCGCCTGCGGCAAGGAAGACTGCTACGGACCAATTTGGTATTCGTTGCCGGGGCCTTGCCCAGGTCAGTATTACGATGGCGCGCCCAGTCTTTCTTTCTTTGACCAGCACGCTCTCTGGTTCATTCGTCCGCTGTACCCTTCGCTTTGCACCTATTCAGCTTGCAGGGTCTGCCTCTGAGTGTTGCCTGCGTGCACAGTCCTGGCGTCGACGTGCACACCTCGAAGAGAACAAAAAGGCACAACCATGAATTGTCGCAGCTTCGTGCAGAGTTCCTGGATCGGCGCTGGGCCCCCCTGGCGGCGTCTCCGGCGCCACCCTTGGCGCGCTCCGGTCGCTAAGGGGGGTGCAGCGCCGATCGAATAATCCGTGGACCTTCCAGAGTTTATGTTTAGTCGTGTTTGCTTCCTTAGCACCGCGACCCAATCTGTTGAACGCAGAAGGCTGTTGGACCAGAGTCTGAGGAGTGGGGCCTCCAGCTACAGTGCTGTCTGCGATCCAGTCGATGCGTGCTGATGTCCGCACGTGTAACCGGATCGGCCTGCCAAACCTGAGGGGAGGCTTTATTTCTCCACGACGGGGCTCGACTCGGTCGACTCGGCCGCGCGAGCGGCTCGATCGGTCTGCGATTCGAGGCGGCCCCAATCGGGGGCAAGATTAGGAGGGGATGTGCTCTGGTGGACATGCATCGACCCCCAGTCGCCCATTTATTGCCCATGAGGGCCTGATAGCCCTTCCCGTCGCGGATTCGCCATCGGGGGCCTGTCGCCGATCTTTCGGCGACGTATCGCCGATTCCAGGTAGATTTGTTCTGCCCTGAGTTGGTGTCCAGCCGAAGACCGCTGGGACTTGTTTTGAAGGGCCACAAGATGTCTGAAAATGATAGCACACTTTGCACTCCTGTGGCAAGCACAGATGGCAGGGGGATCAAGACCCCTACGGCGAATCACTGCCGCCACTTGCCTCCTTGAAACGCCCATGTGGCCAAACGTTCGGCCGAAATCAGGCAACGCTATTGGACTATATCTTCCCCTCGGCCGTTGTAGAACCCCATCGTGGGAACACTAAGGAAAAAAAGGAGGACGAGGAGACAGAGGAGGAGTAGGAGAAGCAGGAAGGAGAAGAGGAGGCCTCTTGAGGCCCTCCTGGGGTCTTCCCAGGCGTCTCTTGGGAGGCTCTTGCCTCCTGGGGCCTCTCGGGGTCCGCTTGGGGGCCTCTTGGTCCTCCTTCGGAGGCAGTAGGTCCCTGTTTGGGCGTTTCAGGGCCGTCATGGGAACGTCGAGGGGAGGATGCCGCAGGGGAAGGAGGATGTTGGCACGGAAACGGTGAGGACGAAGCATCGGGTCAGAAGCAGCGCGCGCGTGCTGTGCGAATTGGTCCCGCTGCGCTGACTTCCGCTGCTCTCTTCTCTCCGCCTCCTCGTCCTCGTCGTCCTCGCTGGTGTCATCCTTCTCCGCCTTCGCTTCTGTCTCCTCCTTTCTTTCTCCTCTATTCCTCTTTCCTCCCTGCTCCCTCCCTCCTCGTCCACCCCCTCTCCCTCGCCCTTCCCCCATGTGGAAACAGGGGAGCCCCCCGCCCCGATACCTTGGGCGCACAGGCAAGACGGAGCAGTGCATCCGCGCGGAGCCCGGCGGGGCGTGCGCCGCATCGGACTTCAAACGCGCCGACGGGGAGAGCACGCCCGTGGCGACGGCGACGACGACGGCGTCGGCGAGGACGACAGCGACAACAACGGCGACGGCGACGGCGAGGACGGCGACGGCGACGGCGGCGACGGCGACGGCGACGACGACGACGACGACGACGGCGGCGACAACGACGACGGCGTGGACGACGGCGTGGACGACGTCGTTTCCGTTATGTGGTTTCTGGGCATTTTTGGAGGTTGTCGTTCGAGGACGAGCTGAGCTGTCGGAGATCCGCGCGTATTTTTGTTTCGGATCGGCGCTGGGACCCCCTGGCGGCCTTTCCGGTCCCGCCCCTGGTGCGGTGCGCGCACAAGGGAGGGGGTTCAGAAGTTTACGCATGTTAATTTAATGCCGTTGCTTTTTCTTCGGTCTCATTGTCGTCTCGATGTCTTTGGACGTCTCGGAATTTCGGACGACGAGGACGGCGACGAGGGCGAGGAAGAGGAGAGAGGGAAGAGCAGGGAGAAAGGAGATTCGTTATCGTCGCCAGTCCTCTCTTTGCCGTTGGACTCGTCGTCGGTCTCGGACGGGCTCGCGCTCGTATTTTCGCCGTTTCCGTCATCAGGTTCGTCGGTCTCGCCGCGCTCGTCCGTCGTGTCCGTCGCGTTTTTCGTCCGAAAGCCTTGCTTGCACTAGCGGCTTGTGTCGCCTTTGCGTCAGTTTTCATTCGTAGAAGGGGGAGGAGCATGAAGAGGCGGAAGAGGAGGAGTCGTTGAATGAGCAGAGGGAGGAGGCGGAGTTGTTGGAGTTGCTGCAGAAGCAGAGGACCGAGGGAGGAGCAGCAGCGGGCGAGGAGGGTTTTATTTAATCGCTTCGCTCATTCCGCCGGCCCTGGAGCGCTATTTCGGGCCTCTTGGGGCCGTCTTGGGGGCTTCTTGGAGGCTTCTTGGGAGCGTCTTGGGGCTCCTTGGCGGCGTATTGGGCCCCCTAGGGCCTCTTGGGGGCTCTTGGGGGCCCCTTGGGGCGGGGGTAGTCGATTGCAGCCCCCCCCTCGGAGGCCACGATCCTCGTGAGGGGTGGCGAAAAATAGCCCCCCCCCCCCTGGGGATCGCCCGGGACCCAGCCGGGGATCGGCCAGGGAACTTTTCGTCCGGGGCCCCCCAGGGGCCGCCCCGCGCGCGCGAATTAGACATATTTTCAAGTAGCTACCGGAGATCTTAGCACGCCTCTGGCCCGTTGTGCCGGCGAATTTTCGTGCGCGTAGGTAATTCCCGCCGCTATCTGCTGACCATACCTGACCCTTGAGTCTTCGGTCGGCCCTCAGCCAGGCAAACGAAGCAGTGATATCGAACAAACATCCAGGCTTCTCAGAGCTTCACATTTTCGAGACGAAACATAGAAATTGTTCTCCAAAGAAGGCGCGGGCTCATGCGGAAGCGTGTGCCTGTGACGTCGAGGTGCGTCTGCGAGCAAAGCAAACCTGGACAGCGCCACTTGGTTCGCAACCGCTCCGATTCCACGAAGGCCTTGGCGTCCTCCAGGGGTGGGGACAAAATCGAACTCGCGCCTCAGCCCTTCCAGGGCCCGAGAAAGATGGATGCCTTCCCGCTCTCGTCTTCTTGTTGTCTTTCGAAGGACCCGGGAATGCATACGCATGATTTTCGGAGCACTTCGCGGATTCCTTGGATCTGCGTTGGGACCCCTTGGCGGCGCTTTCGGCGCCGCCCCTGGCGCGCTCCACGGGACAGGCCCGCGGACCAGGGAGGGGACTCCAGCGCGGATCCAAGAAATCCGCGCGGAGCTCCAAAAGTTTACGTGTACGCAGTGTGTGATCTTCCTCTGTTCATGCCCTTCCTCGGAAAGTGATCGAGGCCTGAATCCACAAGTCCCAGGATCGATGTACGAGTCCTCCCCGGCCGTGGTCAGCAGGGCGTGGTCGCCGATCCTGGGCCGAGGCGTGGCATCACCAGGATCGGTCTGGGAGGGTGGTCGCGCGTAACCCTCCTCGGGGAGGACGGAAAGGCGGGGGGGCTTGGGAAAATGGCTGGTTCTGGCAACTGCTGCCTGCAGCTGGCTTCGGCCCCACCGCCGAGCACTTTTCCTCGATGCATGGCCGCCCCTGGCGCCAGAAGGCTCCACGAAAGGAGCCGCATGCAGCTGGGTCGCCTCCCTTCCGTCCAACCCGACTCCTCCCCAGGACCCACAGACCGAAGGGAAGAACAGCGACATGACCACCATCAGCGGGCCACCTCCAGCGAGGAGGCTCGCGATGCGTCGCAGAGCTGGAGATTGGAGACGTCTCGAGCGGAGCGCCGCAACGCGGGGAGACTGACCGCACAACCAGTGGAACCCTTCCTGGCTCCTGTTGCTGCTGGTGGCGCCGCTTTTCGTAGTTCTAGCGCTACCGGTGTGAAACCCTCGTCCAGTTCCTGCCTGTTTGAAGGAGTCTCCTGACCCAGAAAACGTTTGAACACATTTCTTCCGGAATGCTGGTCTCCGGACGTCTTACGTTAAGAGGCTCCTGCCATGGATCCACAATACAGAGCTCGACCTAAACGGTGGTCTGGCGATTTCGTGGAGCGTTGTCGTTTCGACTTAGTTTTGCCGCAAACGCTAGACGAAGACAAAACGAGAGAAACCGGACACACAACGAAAACGAATGTCACTGCTTCTGTCGAGCCCTTGCTCAACAATGACTATAATGGGCTCGAAACGTTCAGACATCTCCCTCGATCCTCGATCGTTCCTCGGACCTTCGATCGATCCTGGAGATTTCGGGGCTGCGCCCGGGCGCCCCCGCCAACCGGCCTCCTTGCGCGCAGGGCGAGTGCACGTTCTTGGTGGAGGAGGCCGGGGAGGTCGCCCCCCTCTTTCTCGGGCGGGCCAAGGACCGGCATATATCGTTCCAGATCCCTCTGGAACGCGATATATCCCCCAGTCCGATCTTGTCTCGGCCTTTTCTTCGTCTTGCCCACGCTCTGGGCGCACGTAGCAGTGGTCGGCTCAGTCTTCGCCGACCCCCTTCTGGCTGACGTCGGTTTGGGCTGACGAGGTCGCCCTCCCCTCTCGTTCTCGTCACCATGAAACGGGCCCTGAGGGCAACGTATCCTGATTTTGCCTCGCCGTTGTTGCTCTTCTGCGGCCCTCCACGGCCCCCGGGGCTGTCAAAAAACGGCTCAGGATGAAGAGTTGGTCCTGGGGAAAGCCCCAGGGTCCAGGACCCGTTTCCGTCAGGGCCCGTTTCCGTCATGCCAATGCTCAGGGCGCACGGAATGGGGGTCAGCTCGGTCCCCTCCCGACTCTCCTCCGATTGACGCAGGTTTGGGCGCCACGTGGTGCCCGACCCCTCCGTCCCCTTCCTCCGCCGACCCTGGTTTGGGAGACGCGTCAGGTCGGGCGGTTGGCGGATGGCAGCGGTGTGTCAATAAACGTGGGGGGATCAAGGATTGCAGGGACGTGGCCTGAAAGGGGCCCTACGTTGCCCCTAAACTGCTACCGCGAGCCCCAAAAGTGTGCCAATGGAGCACGTTCCTTCACCACACGTTTATTGCCCCCCCTTTGCGATCACCCAATTGGCCCAGGGTTCGCAAGATGGCCCTGGCCGACCAGGGTTAGCGCTGACCCAGGTGGGCGCGTCCCCGATCTCCCCGCGCTGTTTCCATCACGCTGTTTCTCCCGCTAGTTGACAAGGGGGGGAGATCTCCACATAAAAAAACGCTGTTATCCGATTCAAGGTGGTATGTTTTCACCCCCCCCACCCCCCTTCCGGAGGTGTGTGGCCCCCCCTCCCCGTTGGCGCCGACAGGAGGGGGGGGACGTGGCATGCTCCATCGCGTGGGAGCAGTTAGATTCGGGGTTTAGGGCTCGGGTGTTAGGGTTGAGGGTTTGGGTTTAGGGTTGGACTTCTTGCTGAGAGTTAGGGTCAGGGTGCCAGGGTGCCATGGTGATAGGGTTAGGGTGTTCGGATTTAGGGCCGTTGGCTTACGGTTAGGGGCAGGGGGTTAGGTTCATGTGTTGAGAGTTAGGGGTAAATTCTTGTTAGGGTTTAGGGTTGTGAGCGTTGTGTAGAGGATTAGGGCTTCGGGTTCGGGTTCGGGTGTCAGGAACTAGCGTTTGGGCTTGCGATCAGTTTGTGGGTTTAGGGTGAGGGTCGCCAGGTTTGGGATTCAAGTGTTGTTGTTAGGCTTAGTGTTACGGGCTAGGGTTCGTGTGTTATTGTTTAGTGTGTTAGGGTTTCGGGCTTCAGTGTGCCAGGGTTAGGGTGCTAAGGATGCTTGAGTTGGGGGTGTTAAAATGTCAGGGCTCGGGTGTCGGGCTACGGCTAGGGTGCTAGGGTGAGGGGGGCAGGGTGAATGGTTAGGGTCCATTTGTCATTATTGAAATCGTCAACTCCACTGTTTGTGCAAACATCCCACCCATCAGCCCACCCGCAACTTGTTGGCAAGCCCCAAGTTGACGGCTACAACGACGATGACGATGACATTGTTTATGACGACAGTGGGGGCACTGTCGACGACGACGATGGTGATGGTGGTACAGTTGGATGTGACGAGAACGACGGTGACATTGATGACGCAGGCGATGAGTAAGTACGCATGTACAGGCAGTCAAGGAGGGCGCATACCTCGACGTCGACGATGATGATAACGCGGCGGCGATAATGACGACGACGATGGTGATATGGTGATATATAATGATGTTCTCTGGTGATATTGACGATGATGGTAACGATTGTGCTGATGAGGACGATGAAGGGGTGGGCGCACGCAGGAACTCATACAGCGTGGCATGAATGTATTGCTCGTCGTTGGGCATCGTACACATTCGAACACGTTTTCGCAGGAGTTGTTAGAACACCAATGAATTTGCAATCATTTCAAGATGTGGCCCATATTGTATTACATGGCAGGATTGACGGGCGTGCGTTGGTGGTTGAGCGTGTTCAGCATCTTGCATGGTTTTATGCCACTAACCATCTAAAACCGATGGCTTTGCCTGGAGTTCTCCGAGTGGCTGCGCCTTGAATTACGCGAGTGGGAACGCGCACATCTGTATCTCCCGACGAAGATAGCATGGTTGTCCTAGCTGTTGGTTAGCAGTGGTTTTGTTAGAGTCTGCCACTGTGCTCTTGACTGATGTTGCTACGCTCGCGCGGCGCGCGTGCACGTGCCCCGCATAGATTTTGTGAAAAGGGGTTCTCAGAAAAATACACATCTCACATCAGCGCATGTGCACCGCATGAGGTGTTTGCAGAAGGCGACGTGGGGGGAGGGGCTGGGGGTCGATACCAGTCTCCTTCGGGTTATTCTCCAATCAGTGCTTGCACTGAAGGGGTTCTAGCGGACGTTCCAAGATTTGGCGATTGTGCCTGGCCAGTTTCGGCAGGCGGACGGGTTCCCAGGTTCCCGAATACGGGTTCCTTGGCTCCCGCTTGCTGATTCTGGGCCAACTTCAGTGGGCGGCGGGGTTCCCTGGTTTCCATGGTACCCGGGTTCCTGGTGTATCTTTTGATCGATTGGTTTCACCATCGATCTCATTACCTACCTCTCAATCGATCGCAGGATCGATCTCACCATAGAGCGCACGAGCGATCTCACGATCGATCTCACTATCGATCTCATTGGGTCGACTTCACTATCGGTGTCACGATCGACCTCCATTTCGTCCTCGCTATCGATCTCACCGGCGATCTCACAACCGATGTCAATATCCATATGACTATGTTTTGAACATATCCACTGATCGGGGTTTTTCATTGGTACAATATGATTTGAATTTGAACATTCGGCAACTGTGCGTATTCCGCAAGATACTGTGATGTCTCGGGAGGGACCGTGAAGTCGTGCCTCGGGAGGGCATCGGAATTTTCCGATTCTTGTGACGGGGATGGTATGGTCAACAGCAACGACGCCGAAAGCGACAACGACGACGCCGCCGCCGACGACGACGACGCCAACGCCGATGACGCCGACGCCGACGACGACGCTGCCGACGACGACGCCGCCGCCGCCGGCGAGGACGACGACGACGCCGATGCTGACGACGACGCCCACGCCGCCGACGATCAGCAGAGTAGAGTAGGCGTAGAGTAGAGTATAACATGAGTAGAGCAGAGGGTAGAGTAGAGCCGAGTTACCAGAGCAGTTTGGGATACGGTCGGTCAAAGTAAAGCAGGGTACATTCGAGTAGAATCGACTAGGGAAGGAGTCGAGTAGAGAAGACTAGATGGGCAGAGTAGCATGTTTCGGCCTGTCGTCGTCGGGGGGGGGAGGGTTCTGGACCCCCTCTAACGATTGCTAAGGCCTTACGGCCGGTGCCGCCGAACCTGAAGACGACGACGACGACCAATCCGAGGAGGAGGAGGAGGAGGAGGTGGATTAAGGTGGAAGGGAGCAGGAGAAGGCGAAGGAGATGTTCCCCCCTGTGGGCTGAGGGAGTCGTAGCAGAGACAGACAGGGAGCCTGGTGGCCTGCGGCCCTTCCCGCCACCTTGCTGGGGTTGTGGTTGAAAGGCCTCTTGGATGTTTTCGGGCCAGTTGGGGCATCTGTTGGGCCTCTTGGGGGTCTCTTGGGGGCCTCTTCGGGCCCCTTGAGGGGCTCTTGGGGCCTTCCAGGGGCTTCTTGGAGCGGGAAGCTCGAACTGTCGGTTCGTGGTCCTCTTCTTGGGCCTGCTTGGGGCCCATTTGGGGCATTCTTGGGCTGTCTTGAGGGTCTCTTGGGCTGTCTTGGGGCCCTCTTAGGGTGTCTCGGGGCCTTCTTGGGGTCCTCTTGGGCACTCTTTGACCTTCTTGGGGGCCTCTTAGGGCACTCTTGGCGCGTCTTGGCGCTTTTTGGGGCTCCGGGACGCCCAGGGGCGGATGCGTATCTGACCCACCCACCCCCGGGATCCTCCCGGGCCCCCCCCCGGGAACCCCCCCGGGACCCCCCCCCGGACCGCCGGGACCCCGCTTCCTTTCGACTTCAGTACGACGTTGCTACGGTTTTCTTTCGCTGGCAGGCTTGAAGAGGAGGGTGCAGGGACAGGGGACGACGTTGATGCAGGGAAAGAGGACAACGTATGCGTCGACTGAGCGCACGCCGACAGGGGGTCCACACACGCCGACAGGGTCGGCGGATTTTCTAGGGGGGTCCAGAACCCTCTTGGGAGGGTCCCGAACCCCCTGTCAATTCATTACTGAGTTTCTGGGGTGCGGGATTCTCGACCCTCCGCTAATTTTTTCAGGGGGGGGATTTCCCATTTATTTTTTTCGGGGGGGAGAGGACAGGGGGGTTACGGCCCCCTGCGATTCTTCCCGGAGTGGGGGGGCGGCGGGGTGGGTCTTCCCCTACCCTCAGGAATTTTTGCCAGGGGGGCGAGGGGCCCCATGGTTTCGGACCCCCCCTCATAGAACAATTTCAGGCCAGCGGCAGTTGATCGCGCTCCCTCCGAGGACAGGGTACCTTCGTGTCCCCATGTCTCATGTATACTGCATTTCGTGCCCTCTTCACTCCCGGAGGACAGGTTGCCTTCGCCGCTCCTTCACTTCGCAACCAGTCCGATTGCCGCCTGGATCCATTCAGCTTGATGCTGCAGCTGATTTGTGTTTCTACACCGCGCTGAACATTGCTAATCGTTCCCACGACGACCTACTAGGAATAGCCTCCTAACGTTGTCAAGGTGTCATCCCCCGACCCCTTCTTCAGACCTGCACGCCCGCTGGGCCAAGGGCCCGCCAGACACCCAATGATCACGTTTCGGATAGACGGGATGTTATGTTGGTTCGTTATGAAAAGTGATCCTGCGGCGGGGCGGCCCACCTGGCGAGGGCCGAGCCTAGTCGTGAGTTCCGTGGCTTCCGATAGGTGGCGCTCTCGTCGGCCCGGCGTCCATCCCCAGAGCAGTTGCTTTTGCCTACCCGTCGTTTTGTCCGATACTCGCGCCTCGCTGTGGTGCACATGTGTGCGTATTGAGCTCGCGCGTGCCCCCTGGGCTCATGCGCCAACGGTACGCAGAGTTTGCACGTTCGTCAGTAAATGCGCCCGTCCCTCTCAGCCCTTTGCCTCCACGTGAGCCCTCACGGCACGAGCTCCCCAGACTACTCGCGCCTAGAGGACTGGTGGGCTTAGGGTGCCTCATGTGCCCTGTCTGCCGCGAATCGTGTCCTCTTCGTGTGTGGGGCACGTGTCGGCCGCCGAGGCGACTTGCCTCCTCTCGGATCAGGCCCCGCTGTAGAAAAGCAGGAGGAGGCGGAGGAGGAGGAGGAGGAGGAGCTGTTTCTCAAGCTCGCTTCAGCAGATCGTTTGCGGCTTGTCCAGCGAAAACATGAGCTGCTCCCCTCGACCCCCTCACGCCTCACGCCAAGGTCAGCCTCGCCCGGCTCACAGGCTCGGCCCGCCCCCCCCCGCTGCCGCTGCCGGTGCCCACGGGGAGAGGTCTCTCGCTCGCCTTCGTTTGCGGCGCAGGTGGTTGGGCGCGCTCCACCATGTGCAGGCTTTGCTGCCACACCATAGGCGAATATGATCGCTCTCCCTGAACACATGTTCCATACAGATGGTTACATAAAATCATGTGCAGACGTGGTATACATGTGTATATATGTGCACATACATACAAACATACGTGGTTACGCACCTGGAGCATCACATCATACGTATAGTCCATACGTATAAGTTTGTGGCCCCGATCACCGATCATACCGTCAGCAAAAACCAATTGATTTGGAGAAAGAGATGCGCGTGTCACGAGGTTCTTAGAGAGATTTATATTCGGATCGCAGATGGGCCAGTATTGTTCCAGGAGGGCCTCAGGGTTATCTGGTGGGGATAGCTCCGAGAGAGCATCGGACGAGAAGATGCGCGTCTCAAGGCTCCGAACATGAAGGGCTCCACACGAATGAGAGAACGTTGAAATTGGATCGCGTTGTTCGTCTTTTGCATCCTTTTGGCATGGTCACGCCCTGTGTCCTGAGCTGGGCTGGAGCCGCCTGAACACGCGCGGAGCGCGCTCTGGGTCTCTGAAGCGAGAGCCCCCCATCAGTGTGACTGTCGCGCAGTCTGGTAATCTGTGCAACTAGAAATGTGAAGAATCATGCATCGACACCTCCATCTTGACAACGGACTATTCTCCACACGTGTGAGAGCTAGAAGTTTTGAAACAAAGGCACGTTGCTCCAAGCCGATTTGTCGGGCATGCCCTTGAACATTCGGCACCGGGGCCGTCTTGGAAGTACTCGCGGGCATCTTGGCCGTCTTGGAGAGCGCCAGGGAGGCGTCGTTGCGCCCAGGAACCCTCGGGGCGGGGCAGGGGGCTGCTTGCTACGCGTGCATCGAGGTGTGTTTAGAGGGGTGAGGCCTGAGAGCTCAGAGACATTGCCGGACAGCCGTTCGTATTCTACCACTCCTCGGCTTTCCAAGGGGGCACGGGGGCGGACTTTTCTTTGTGTTTCTCGCCTGCTCCGGTCTCTCGGGTCCTGGCCAGGTCCGCCCACCCCTCTTCCCCCCCCCATCCGTGCGCGCGCGAGCGCCGTGTGAGCGTGGTTGAGGCGCACCCCATCCGCGCGGTGGCAGGGCCCCAGAGTGGCCGCGAGTTGGCGCGTGTATTTCCAATGATCTCTCTGCGTCGGTTGTCTCCAGCTCTGACGGAGCTGCCCGTGGGCCGCGGTGGAATCCCTTTCGGACGCGTCAGTGAATGGACGTCTTCTGCCTTGAAGGGGTTGTCGCGCGTGCTTGTGCGGGGTCGCGTTTATCTTAGTTAGTGTGCTCGGCCTGTGTAAATGAAGAGTATTTCTCAGAGCCCACTTCCAGCCTGTTTCGCCTTGCAAGTGAAGCAAACATTGGTGTGCTTGCATCTGCCGTGCATTCTTTTTGCGTGGTGGTGATCGTGAGGCATCACCGGCAACTACGACAGCTTCTGCGCGTCTGGAGCCAGGGAGTACGACGAGAGCACGGACGCAGGCTCATAGATCTTCAGAGCTAAAGCCCGCTAACGCAACAGCAGTTGTCTGATGGTGTTTCAGGTGCGATTAGTCTTTCACAGCGACGTGTCTATCATATTATGTGTTGCCAAATGCATCACGATCCTATGATTGCGCAGTACATCTGGGGGGATTGGTAACACATACGTTGTACATGTAGGCCTCCTTTCTTACGCTACTACGAGTGTAAATGTATGAGGATCGCTGCAACTATGCATGCACGTGCCGAGTAATTCAATCTGTCGCACGCGGGTGGTCATGCACCTCACGTGGTTGCAGTCGTGCATGTTGAAGGGCATATTTTCATACGGGTATGAGTGTATGAGTGTCGCTGCAAATGCTAAAGACACCATCGTCGGGCACCTCGTGCTGCTTGTTCTCGCACGGAGCCAGCGCAGTCACTCTGTCTAGCCGCCGCCGAAAAAAACAAGTCTCGCACGGAACCGTGCAGTTTCCGAGATGTCGTCGGGGCCTTGGGTTGTTCTCGAATTTTGTCATTGCCCAATCCTAGACGCTTCGCGTATCCCCACCAGTGGTCCGCCTTTTTTGCCCCCCCCCCCCCCCCCTTCCTCGCTGGCACACGCTCAGCGGCCGGTTTTCCTATTTGCTTCCCTCACTGGCAGATGTTCAGCGTTGCTATTCTCTGCTGCTGGCACACGCTCAGCTGCTTCTTGGCCGTCACGGTGCTGCGCCGTTAATTATATGTTTCCCGCGCGCTGTGTCCCAGCTTCGTTCTTACCGCCCTCTGGACTTGTCCTTGCGGGCCGCGAATCAAAACAAATATCCCGGCAAAGCAACCTAACAGCGATGTGTAGGAGCATATCTGGAAGCATTCCCCTTACGATTCATATGAGAATCCAGTTGTAGAGTTTTGCTGTTCTCGCAGTCGTTGTCGCATTCGCGATGACAGTCGCAGCGGCAACGGCGGTCGCAGTCACAGCCTCAGCCTCAGCCTCAGCCTCAGCCTCAGCTTCAGCCTGCCTCAGCCTCAGCCTGCCTCAGCCTCGGCCTCAGCCTGCTTCACCCTTAGCATCAGTCTGCCTTCAGCCTCGGCCTCAGCCTCAGCCTGCCTCAGCCTCACCCTGCATCAGCCTCAGGCTCAGCCTCAGCCTGCCTCAGCATCAGCCTGCATCAGCCTCAGCCTCAGTCTGCCTCTGCCTCAGCCTCAGCCTGCTTCAGCCTCAGCCTCAGTCTGCCGTCGGCCTCGGCCTCAGCCTCAGCCTGCCTCAGCCTCAGCCTGCATCACCTCAGCCTCGGCCTCAAGCCTGCCTCAGCATCAGCCTCCGCCTCAGCCTCCAGCCTCCTCAGCCTCAGCCTCAGCCTCAGCCCTCAGCCTCAGCTGCCATCAGCTCTCAGCCTCAGCCTCAGCCTCAGCCTCAGCCTCAGCCTCAGCCTCAGCCTGCCTCAGCCTCAGCCTCAGCCTCAGCCTGCTTCAGCCTCAGCCTCAGTCTGCCTTCAGCCTCGGCCTCAGCCTCAGCCTGCCTCAGCCTCAGCCTGCATCAGCCTCAGCCTCAGCCTCAGCCTGCCTCAGCATCAGCCTGCCTCAGCCTCAGCCTCAGCTCTGCCTCAGCCTCAGCCTGCTTCAGCCTCAGCCTCAGTCTGCCTTCAGCCTCGGCCTCAGCCTCAGCCTGCCTCAGCCTCAGCCTGCATCAGCCTCAGCCTCAGCCTCAGCCTGCCTCAGCATCAGCCTGCCTCAGCCTCAGCCTCAGCCTCAGTCTGCCTCAGCCTCAGCCTCAGCCTCAGCCTCCTCAGCCAGCCTCAGCCTCAGCCTCAGCCTGCCTCAGCCTCAGCCGCCTCAGCCTCAGCCTCAGCCTCAGCCTCAGCCTGCCTCAGCCTCAGCCTCAGCCTGCTTCAGCCTCAGCCTCAGTCTGCCTTCAGCCTCGGCCTCAGCCTGCCTGCTTCGGCCTCAGCGTGCCTCAGCCTCAGCCTCAGCCTCAGCCTCAGCCTGCCTCAGCATCAGCCTGCCTCAGCCTCAGCCTCAGCCTCAGCCTTCAGCCTGCTTCAGCCTCAGCCTCAGTCTGCCTTCAGCCTCGGCCTCAGCCTCAGCCTCACTCTGCCTGCATCAGCCTCAGCCTTACCCTCAGCCTGCCTCAGCATCAGCCAGCATCAGCCTCAGCCTCAGCCCGCCTCAGCCTCAGCCTCAGCCTCGTGTTGGCTCCGGGCATCCAAAATGGCCCGGGAATGGAGTTCTGGGAACTCGAAGACCACGAAGTGGCCTACAGTTGGCTCCGGGCATATACATATAACGGCGCACCGGGTCCGGGGGCCCGGGGCCGGGACCCCGACCGCAAATGTGGGCCCCGGGGGGCCCGGAGGCTCGTCGGACCGCCGGACGCCGTCCAAGATCGTTCGCAGGCGGCTTCGGAACGCGCTCCGATGGCTCCAGATGCCTTCCAAGACGCCTGTCATGACACCAAGAAGGTCCCAGAAGCCTCCAAGACGCTCCGAGAGGCAGCCCAAGAGAGGCCCAAGAAACAAAAATCGTGCCATTCCTATGGGAAAACGTATATTTTTCGCATGTTCGCCTCTTGGGCTTTCGCCGCGTCCAAGACGGCCCAAGAGGCGCCCAAGACGGTCTACGAGGCCTCCGGGAGCGCTCCAAGGCTGCGCACGAGTGGCCCAGGACGGCCCCAAGACGGCCGAAGAGAGCCCCAAGACGAGTTCGAGAGGGGTCCCAGACGGAGAAAGCCAACCTCGAATTCCGAGCTTCCGGCCCAAGAGGCTCCAGGAGGCGCCAAAATGCCGCCAAGAGGCGCCAAAAGGCTCCCAAAAGCACCCCAAGACGTTCCGAGAGGCACCCCAAGAGAGGTCCAAGAAACAAAAATCGTGCCATTCCTATGGGAAAACGTATATTTTCGCATGTTCGCATCTTGGGCTTTCACCGCGTCCAAGACGGCCCAAGAGGCCTCCAAGACGGCCTAGGAGGCCTCCGGGAGCGCTCCAAGGCTGCGCACGAGTGGCTCAGGACGGCCCCAAGACGGCCCAAGAGAACCCCAAGACGACTTCGAGAGGGGTCCCAGAAGGAGAAAGCCACTCTCGAATTCCGAGCTTCCGGCCCAACACATCCCAGGAGGCGCCAAAACGCCGCCCAGAGGCGCCAAAAGGCTTCCAAAATCAGCCCAAGACGTTCCGAGAGGCACCCCAAGAGAGGTCCAAGAAGCAAAAATGGTCCCATTCCTATGGGGAAAACGTATACTTTTCGCATGGTCGCCTGTTGGGTGTTCACCGCGTCCAACACGTCCGAAGAGGCTCCCAAGACGGCCTAGGTGGCCCCCAAGAGAGTTCCAAGACGGTTCACGAGGCGCCCAGGACGGCAAAATTGGACTCCAAAATGGCCTAAGAGAGCCCCAAGGCGTGCCCGAGAGGGGTCCCAGAGGGAGAAAGCCACTGTAGAATTCCGAGCTTTCGGCCCCAAGAGGCTCCAGGAGGCGCCAAGAGAGCTCCAAGAAGCCCCCACGAGAGACCCAGGACGCCCCAAGAGGCTCCAAAGGCGGCCCAAGAGAGCCCCAAGATGGGCCCGAGAGGGGTTCCACGCAAGTTGTTATTGTATCGCTCGGGAAAGGACGAGGATGAGGAGGAAGACGAGGAGGAGGAGGAGGAGGAGGAGGAGGAGGAGGAGGAGGAGGAGGAGGAGGATTCCTGGGTCTGTGACTCGACAGAACCTAAGCGCGCGCGAAGCGCGCGCGTGGTTCTAGTCCAAAATGTAAGCCGGGAATGGAGTTCTGGGAACTCGAAGACCACGAAGTGGCCTACAGCTGGCTCCGGGCATCCAGAATGTACGCCGGGGATGGAGTTCTAGCAGCGCCAAAAGCGATTTTGCGAGGATGTCCCAAGCGATTTGGGCTTCGGCGGCAGGCCCCGGGTCCCGCCCCGACCCCCCTGTGGAGTCATCTGCTGCTCTCTTTTGAGACCATTAGAAACCTATCAGCAAAAGCTGTTAGGTAAATATCCCCACCAGTGGTGCTCACGGCGACAGGTCCCCTTCTTCTTGTCAGACATGTCCCCCCGGTCGCTGACCTGACCGACAATTGATAGGTGACGTCGACTTCCCGTGAAGTGGACCTGCGTCGGGTCGCCGACGAGCACAGGGTGCTCCGTGAGTGAGTCTGCCTCTTTCAGCTCCGCTCTTTTGTTCCCCCCTGTCGTCCTGTTTTGTGCAGGGGATGCGCCTGCCGGTTCAGTTTCTGGCCGGCTGTTGTTAGGACAGTCGGTCTAATGTTTTGGCTTGGTTTCGCAGCGTCCTGTTCTGCATGTTGCACGTGCGTGGGTTGGCGCCCTCTTGGCGGCCTCTACTGTCCGTGGCCTGGCCCTTCTACTTATCTGGCTGTGCGCCTCTTTTTCCTGCCGGATTTGTCCTGAGCAGTGTCTGCCCTGCCGTTCCGGTCAGCTGTTGTTAGGGCGGTCGGTCCCTCTGGCTTGCTGCCCGGTTCTGCATGTTGCTCGTGTGTGGGTTGGCGCCCTCTTGGCGGCTCCCTCCAGTCGTGGCCTGGCCTTCACTAGTTATCTGGCATTGCGCTCCATTGCCTTCTGACACGCCTTCTGGAGTTTTCCTTGCGGGCCGCCGAACGAAAAAATATCCCCACCAGTCTGCGCGCCTAGTATTAATTACGCATGTTTCCGCGTCCCGGACAGTTTTTGATTCCGCCTGCGCCTTCGCTCGCGGACGCGACCGACAAAGTATCCCCACCAGCGGTTAGGCCGCCGCTTAGTTTGTTGCGCCCTTGGACGCCGGCCGATTGCTCTCGGCGCGGTCGCGATCAAACAAAAAATCACGACCGGCCCATCCAGAAAGGATGTCCAGGCGTGTTGAGGTTATCAGGGACGTGCGGGAGCAAGGAGGGGGGCGGCCGAACCGTGCGCAGGTGGGAGAAGGAGATGAAAGAGGCTGGATGGATGGATGAGGGAGTGGGGAGAAGGAAGATGAGTAGGATGAGGAGGAGGAGGAGGATCAGGAGGAGGAGGAAGAGGAGGAAGAGAAGGACTAGGAGGCGGAAGGAGGAGCAGGAGGAGGAGGGCAAGCAAAAAGGCCAGAGGTCTCTTGGATGCCTCTCGGAGCTTTTTGGGATATCTCTCGGGCGCTTCTTGGTGGTTTCTTGTGACGTCTAGGGGGTCTTTTGGCGGTCCTGGGAGGTTCTTGTGCGTCTTGGGTGCTTCGGGGGGGCCGCTTGGGGTCCTCTTGGAAGCCTCCTGGGGGCCTCTTGGGGGCCTCTTCGGGCCATCCTGGGGCCATTTTGGGGCCTTTGGGTGCCTCCTGGGCGCTTTTTGGGGCCATCTTGGAGGACATCGATTAAAAGAAGGTGGTTGCAAGTCGCGCTGCCCCCCCAGAGGCCACAATGAGGCCAACACCAGTAAAACCAATGATTTGGGCTTCCTCGCCGAGGCCGTTTTGGACGCCCTGACCGCTCGCCGCCCCCACCCCGTCCAGGTCCAGGGGAGGGGGTAGGGTGGAGGGGTCAGGACACCCCCTAGATAGCAAGTCGTCTAGCTTACTCCCACCCGCCCTCCCAACACATAAGTAACACCCGAGCCTGAGCATGCTCAGCGGACGTTTTTGGATGGGCAGCTACTAGGAACCAGATCCGACCCAAGGCGCGCGACGTTTGGGCGAGATGCGCCACGCGTGCCAGGCGCGCCACGCGCGCCAGGCACCCCTGGGGCCCGAGCGTGCCAGGCACGCCTGGTGCGCCAGATGCGCCACGTGCTCTGAGTGCGCCAGGTTTGCCGCATACTCCAGCCGCGCCAAGTGCGACACGTTCGGGGCACGAGCAGAGTGTATCAGGTGCGCCTGCACACGTGACGGCACACATCGGGAAACATGTCAGCCCCCACCATCCTTCCTTGTCGAAAACCCATGTCCATCATTGTGTCTGGTTGGCTTGCGCACAGCAGGCCACGCGCCACCAACTCCCGCGGTCCTTGTCGAAAACAATTTGACAGTGATCGCGTGATGGCCGCGCATCCAGATTTAGCTGCGAGGTGCATGTTTTTTCTCCAGGGATGGTAGCCATGCGCACGGCAGAGAATATGCTGACACCCCCGCCGTCCTTACCAAAATCAATCGAAAGTGTTCGCGGGCCTCACGAACATGACTCAAGACTTTTTGCCCCAAAGTGTATTTTGCATTGTTTTTTTACAGGGATGGTGGGGGGAGGGCCGCATCGGGTTGGCCGCACATGCTCCAAATGTGGAGGCAGAGTTCGGTTCTTTATTGTTTTTTTGACGGGGATAGTTGGGGGCGGGTCGGCATGGTGTCTTCATGGTTCCTGGTTGAACCCCTGTCGCTTGGGGGAGGGGGTGTACACTATAAGGAACAGTGATAAACCCCTCCCCGAAGGGGAAGAAAGGGGGTTGGAAGAGGAAACTTTCTAAACCACACACGCCCAGAGGGCTGGTGGGATTCAGGCGACCCATCAGTTGATATTCGATCTGGTGTCCAGGTACATTTTGAGTATGCCTCGCAGGCACGGCTTGGAGGTAATCACGCGTTGCGGTTCCATTGGAAGCGCCAGGGATGTTTTGTGGTGTGTGTGTGTGTGCGCGCGCGTGCGTGCGTTAGTGCGTGCGTGCGTGCGTGCGTGCGTGTATATCTGTGTGTTTACTCCGTCATGTCGCTACGAGCGAGGCCGCTGCCGCCAACCAACAAGTGCGTGTGTGTGTGTGTGTGTGTGTGTTTGTGTGTGTGTGTGTGTGGGTGGGTGGGGGGGTGGGGGGGGGTTGTGTGTGCGACGTGTGACATGGGTCAACTACGTCCGACGGGCCATGGTATCCTTACATCAAGTGCGCGTCGACGCATGGGTGATGATTTCCTCTGCGAGAGCCCACCCATTGTTGTCTACCGCTTAATGGTCTCACCGGCGTGCCGGAGCAGCAGATGTGTGTGTGTGTGTGCGTGTGTGTATGTGTTCTTGTCGCATGCCGCATGTGTCTGTTTATCGGGATTTAATGCGGTCTCGAATTTGTTCGCACGTGGCAGTTCGTCTCAAAGAACATTCAGTTGAGGCAGCGTCGCCACCAGCTACAAGCCCCATACCCTTCTTTCCACCAAGGGTCCTCGCGGATGTGCCGTTCCATGTAATATGACGTGCGGGTTGGCGCGGTGCGGCGTGCGTGCTTTGGCCGGCGAGTTGTCTTCTTGGCAGATCGGTGGCGGCGTGGCAGTGTTCGTGGATTGTTTCGGCGGCGTGCAGCGCGTTTTTGCCCCCCGGGGAAGGGGTGCGGTGGGGAGGCCTCCAATATTAGTATACTTGCATTCTGCATCGACGCTTTCTCAATACTGCTTGCTGCCCTGAACATAGCCCAGATGCATGGACCAGGGCTCTCTGCAAAGCCCATAGCGGGGAGGTGTGATGATGAACTTCTGGGACAACAAGACGAACGAGACTGCTTGCCTCAATCGGATGATGGCGGTGCTTCGAGTAAGTTGTAATCCGCCATGCGTCGTTGAAACTCAGCGCCATCCCTGTGCCATCATCTTCAGTAAGTCCAGCTTGCCATTGGCATGTTCCATACATATACAATAATCATAGCTGCTCCAGGGTCTTCCACGAACGTCCCAGTGTGTGCATATCTTTATGTATGTATATTGACACACATTCGTATCATACTCGGTATATGCGTAACTACATTTTCACGCAGCTCTCCGAAGGAGCAGCGCTCACAGAGGATTATTGTGTCGTTCGCGATTTGTCTGGCCCTTTCGCTCGGGACTTCCTCAATAATCTGAAGAATCGGACGCACATCTCACGCAGATCGCGAGGCCACGTTCCAAACACATTGCATTTTCAACTAGTGGGACATCGAACCATCGAAACACAATGGAACGGATGAAGTCAGCAGTTGCAGTCGGATCGCTCAAGCTGCACGCCTGCCCTCCGGCGCACCTAAGCTTTGGAGATACCGTAGCCAAGTCAGTGCAGCGAGGAAAAGGGTTGCTTACCAGGGCTCACACAGCACGCTTGATTGCCCGTCTTCCTACGGAACGTGTTGCATTGCATTAGCGATTCTTTGAAAACGAGGTTTTCAGCTGGACGCTGATGTTTTCCTGTCGGCCGCAATATATTCGAACAACGTTAGACGTTTGGTGACTTAGCGTCGAGAGTTGCTTCCAGTATGGCTGGTTTCGAAGTGAGTGGTCATGGAGGACCCGTTCCGCATCAAGCCTGTCTGCAGACCGAACAAGAGATAATCCGAAACTCGTTGAAGTACAAGATGGTATTCTATGATTTTTGGTTTCTGCTTCTCGAGGCCCTTCTTGGGGCATCTTGGCTGGCGACCTGGACCGTGTTCAGGCATCCGGGAGAGTATCGGGGCCATCTGGGGCTCTCCTGAAGGCATCTTCCGACAACGACGCCCAGGCTGGCGGCGTTTTCGTCTTCACGTGTCCCTCTGGCGCCCCCCCCCCCCGCGCGGTGGCGGTGGCCTCCCGGCGGCGGCGGCGGACGCTGGCGGCGGTGTTCTTTTGGCGGTGGCGTCTGGCGAAGTGACGCCACTTGCCGCGTCGACGAAGCGGCTCCCGGACCACGTCGTGGTGGCCGCGGGAGTGGTGGCCGCGGGAAAGAGAGGCCGCGCCTGTCTTCCAGGGGGGCCCTCCAGCGACCCAGGACTTGGCCGGGCGGCGGCGACAGCGGCCCCCGCCAGGGCGGCCAGGCGGCGGCATTGCGACGCGGCGGGGGCGGCGGACCCGACCGCGGTCTGCCGTGGCCGCGACGACGACCTCTTCATCCCTCCGACCCCCAGGTCCCGTGCTGGTGGTGGTGGTCTTGGTGGTGCTGGCGGTGGCGTTCGCGCTTGTGTGGCTCCTGCCTGACGCGAGGGACTCCCCTCTTCGCTTTGGTCCTCATCTCGCCTCCGTTTATAGGCCAGAGCTGCGCGTGCTGTCGGCGGCGGGCCGCGCGGCCCCCGTCGTAACTTGCCTGTTTTCGGCGGCGGCCCCTTCGGCCGCCCCGCGCTTTGGACCGGAGGTGCCGCCGCAATCCTGGCGGCACGCCTGGATTTATGTTTCATTTTAGCAGCCCAGATTATGGCATCTTGTTGTTGTGCATCGTGTGGGCGCGAGCCTCGGGTGGCATTTTGGGGCGAACTTGGAAGGGATTGATCAAAGAAGGGAGAGTACTAGATTAGCCCAAACCCGATTCAAAAAATATGACGTTCGCCTTCTAGCCGATGCTTTTTAGTCGCGCCAGTCGGCCGTGACCCCACCCGTCCAGGACCAGGGGAGGGGATAAGGAGGGGTGAACTCCTCCCCGATGGGGAAAAAGGGGGTTGGAAGAGGAAACGCCCTTAACCATACACGCGCTAAAAGCGGGTGGGGTTAGTGTGCTTTTTCGGGCGGCCATTTTGGGAAGCAATTCGACGGCCACTTCATGCGCGCAGTTTCGCACGGGCAATTTCGCGCGGGCAAATTTGCGCGGGCAATTACGTGTCCGTGCGTTGACTTCCCGACCGACTGTGTTTGTCGGTTGCCGCTAGCGCGCCGGATTCCCTGCGAATGGGGCGCCGTCGCGGGTTGCAAGGGACGTTCGTTCCCCCGTGCTACAGATGGCAAGTCGCACAAACAATGAAAGGGCGCCCAGAGCGTTTCGTGGCCAATTTCGCGCCCTCTCGCTTAAAACGTTTTCCGTGCTTTCGCGCCCACCCATCGCTTCTACGCCTTGCTGGGGATCGTCGGTTGCAAGCGACGGGCGGCTCCCCTGGCAAACCTGGTCGGCTCTGACGGCTTTGAGGCGGCCGTGTCGGGCAGTGTTCTGCCTGGAAGCGCGGGGGGATCCCGCCCGGGCCGCGGCACCTTGGCGTTCCTCTTCTTCCTCTTCGTCTTCTTCTTTGTGGTCCTCCTCCTTCTCCTCCTCGTGTCCCTCGGGTCCTTTTGCTTCCGCAGTCTTCATCTGTTGGGCGGGTGGCCAGGGCGATTCTCATGATGTTCCGCCACATGCTCCCAACATGCAATCATCGGTTGAAAATGGTTTGGGACAAATCCCCTTGAAAATTATCCTGGCGAAGGTCCCAACCATATGCAGTTGTGGGTACCGTAATTGTGAATATCTGCTTCGGTAAAGCTCCCTATGGGGCCACGAAGCGCTGCACTGGGCGGGGGGGAACGCTGTACTGTGTGGGTGGTGTGCCGAATTGGGTTTCCAGGACGCATGCGGACGGTCCCACTGAGGGCTTCGGTGGAGCTCCTTATGGGGCCACGAAGCGCTCTACTGAGTGAGTGAAATGCCAAATTGAGCTACCGGGACGCATGCGGACGGTCCCACTGGGGGCTTCGGTGGAGCCCCCTATGGGGCCACGAAGCGCTGCACGGGTGAACATGCCACATTACATTTCCCGGACGCATGCGGACGGTGGCACTGGGGCCTTGGATGGAGCCCCCTATGGGCCACGGAACGCTGCACTGGGTGCGTGAAAATGCCAAATTGGGCTTCCAGGATGCATGCGGACGGGGGCACTGGGGCCTTCGGTGGAGCTCCCTGTAAGGCCACGAAACGCGTAAGGGGTGGGTGAAACGCAGGGAGGAGGGGGAGGAGGGCCACGAAACGCTGTACTGGGTGTGCGGGACGCATGCGGACGGTAGCGCTGGGACCTTCGGTGGGGCTCCCTGTGGGGCCACGGAGCGCTGTACTGGGTGTGCGGGACGCATGAGGACAGTAGCACTGGGACCTTCGGTGGGGCTCCCTATGGGGCCACGAAACGTTGTACTGGGTGGGTGAAACGCAGGGAGGAGGGGGATGAGGGCCACGAAACGCTGTACTGGGTGTGCGGGACGCATGCGGACGGACGGTAGCACTGGGACCTTCGGTGTTGCTCCCTATGGGGCCACGAAACGCTTGCTGGGTGTGCGGGACGCATGCGGACGGTAGCATTGGGACCATCGGTGGGGATGGGGCCACGAAACGTTGTACTGGGCGTGCGGGACGCATCCGGACGGTAGCATTGGGGCCTTCGGTGGGGCTCCCTATGGGGGCCACGAAACGCTGTACTGGGTGGGTGGATCGCAGGGAGGAGGGGGAGGAGGGCCACGAAACGCTGTACCGGGTGTGCGGGACGCATGCGGACGGTAGCACTGGGACTTTCGGTGGAGCTCCCTATGGGGCCACGAAACGCTGTACTGGGTGTGCGGGACGCATGCGGACGATAGCATTGGGACCTTCGGTGGGGCTCCCTATGGGGCCACGGAGCGCTGTACTGAGTGTGCGGGACGCATCCGGACGGTAGCGAGGAGGGGGGGTCACGAAAGGAGGAGAACGCGGGGACCGTCTCTTCAAAACGAGGACCCAACACCACAGGATGGTTGGGAGTAACAAGCCGGATATTCGACAGAAAGTGCACTCTACATATAGAACGCGTATACATATTTCTTATTCTGCACACCGAATATTCGAACGATTCAGGTGAGCCACCCTCCGCTGAGTATTGCCACGCCGTGCTGCTGTAGTGTTCACCGTGGTGCATGGTTATTTTTGCACGTGTTGCTGTCGTTCGGTGTTTGTTAGTGCGCATGCGTGGTGTATGATGTTGTTGGTGTTGTGGTTGACGTTGCTGGTGTGGTAATGTGTGCTGGATGTTATTGTGGTCGTTCCAGTGCTATTATGATGCAATGTGTATTTCTGTGAATTCAGTGCTGTGTACCGTCCATGCTTGTGGTCTGCTGTATGATTGGCCTTTTGTAGTTGTCTGCTTGCTTAGGTGTGCTTCTCTTGGTATCGTATATTCATAATTGTGATTGGTGGTCTTGGTTGATTAGTTGTTGCTTGCTGTGCTGCTTGGTGTTGTTGGGGCTGTTGCGAATGGTGTTGTTTGTGGTTGGTGCTGTTAGTATACGTGTTGTTGTCGGTGTTGCTGTCGGTGTTGTGATTGGTGGTATTGTTGTTTTTTTGGTTTGTTGTTGGTGTTGTTGTTGGTGTTCTTATTAATGGTGGTGTTGTTGCTGTTGTTGTTGTTGTGGTTGTTATTATTCTTCTTGTGATTGGTATTGTCTGTGAGTACTCGCTTCTAGAGAATAATTGTTCTTGATCTCTGGAAACGGTTCCGCGCGCTCTCGCCTCGACGACGGTTACATTTTCTTTGAAAACGAGGTCCCCGCTCGAGCGTTGGCTTGAGTGTAAAAGTGGGCCCTTGGAGGCTGGGCTGCGATGACAACGGCTCCCGCTCGATACTTCCTCACAATTCACCCCTGGACACCCTGGCCAGAGAGGCCCCCGAACCCAGGAACGGCGCTCTCGCTCGAGACTTCCTCGCAAGTCAGTCAAGTTGGCGGAGGCCCAGCCAGGTCGGTTTCTCAATCTGTATTCCGAGAGCCCTTGGCCCCCCCGAACTCAGGAACGGCGTTCTCGCTCGAGAGGTTCTCGCACTTCAGTCAGTGGCCGACTAGGAAGATCTTCCCCCCGAAAGGGGTGCGATCGAAGACGAAGTGGGCATGTATCGAGGGTTCGGGTATGCAGAATGCAACGCCCGAGTGCCAATAAGAGCGAACAGTCTCGTAATGAGTGTTGTTGTTGTTGCTTCTGCTGCTGTTGTTGTTATCGTTGTTGTTGTTGAGCTCTCACTATTGCAGACTAGTGTTGGTTCCCCTGCTTCGCTCCGTCCCCTCCCTCCCCTTTTGAAGAATAACCATTGTTCATCCCTCGCGTCGCCCCCTTCTCATCGCCCCCCCTCCGCTTCGCCCCTGGCCCCTCCCCTAGTAGCGGGCCAGATGCATATTCCGTCCCCGCGGGCTTTCCGTCTCCGTTCCCCATCTCCCCCCGTACACATCACAGTCCAGATGCGCACCTGCCCGCGTGCATGCGTTTGTGCATGTGCGCGTGTTTGTTTGTGCCCCCGTCGCAGCGCATACGTGCACACGCATGTGCACGTGTATGCATGCTCTCATACACGCTTTCATATGTGTAGGCCTGAAGCTTTGGAGCATTCAGCCTCGAGGTGCAGAGTGAGTTCTCCAGGCTCTACCCGAACATGCCGGCCAGCATAGACGCGCCCGTGTGCGACGCTTGAGCAGCGGCAGCGGAGTTTTTTTATCGAGATTATTGGGCTTACGCCACATCGCCGACCCCTTGGGGAATTGGCGGTTGTTGCGTGTTGCTCCTGAGGACCTCTTGTGTGTTTTTTTGGGGGGGGTTCTTGGAGTTCTTTTGGGGCTTGATGGGGGCCGCCTTTCACCTCGCTCCTTCCTGCGTGCCAGCTCGCCTCCTACCTGGCCATCCCTGGGGGGCTGCGATCTGTGAAACGATCGCCACTTCAGAGGGAGTGCTGGGGGGGTCCAGCGGAGTGACGTCTTACCCCGATCCAGCTGAGGTTTCGCCATCCCTTGGGGGCTGCGATCTGCGAAATTGGCGCCACTTTCGAGGGCTGCTGGGGGGTGCAGCGGAGTGACGTCTTACCCAGATCCAGATGAGACCTCGCCATCCCTGAGGGGCTGCGATCTGTGAAATTGGCGCCACTTTCGAGGGCTGTCGTGGTGTCCAGCGGAGTGACATCTTACGCGGACCACCAGGAGTCCTCGCCATCGCTCTGGGGGCTGCGATCTGCGAAACCGTCGCCACTTTCGAGGGCTGCTGCGCAGCGGAGTGTCGTCTGACGCAGACCTCCAGGAGACCTCGCCATTTTTGGAGGGTTGTGATCAGCGAAATTGTCGCCATTTTCGAGGGCTGCTAGGGGGTGCAGCTGAGTGGCGTCTTACCCAGACTCAGATGAGACCTCGCCATCCCTGTGGGGCTGCGATCTGCGAAATTGTCGCCACTTTCGAGGTCTGCTCGGGGTGCAGCGGAGTGCCGTCTTACCAAGATTCAGGTGAGACCTCGCCATCCTTTGGGGCAGTGATCTGCGAAACCGTCGTCACTTTCTAGGGCTGCTGGGGGGGTGCAGCGGAGTGACGTCTTATCCAGATTCAGATGAGACCTCGCCATCCCTGTGGGGCTGCGATCTGCGAAACCGTAGCCACTTTCGAGGGCTGCTGCGTGTGTGCAGCGGAGTGACGTCTTACCAAGATTCAAACGATACTTCGCCATCCCTGAGGGGCTGCGATCTGCGAAACCGTCGTCACTTTCAAGGGCTGCTAGGGTCCAGCGGAGTGACATCTTACCCGGATTCAGATGAGAATTCGCAGGTGTTGCGATCTGCGACGCTGTCGCCTTTTTAGAGGGATGATGGGGGGTCCAGTGGAGTGACTCTTTGCGCGGACCACCAGGAGAGCTCTTCATCCCTGGGGACCAGCGAAGTGGCGTTTTGTTCTGTTACCCAGGGGCTGTTTCGAGTTCCGGGGTCGTCAGAGTCCCGGCAGGGGTGCAGGGATAGCGTGTGAGGGTCCACAAGCGGCGGAGGAGGAAGGAGGAGGTGGCGGAGGAGGAGGAGGAAGGGGAAGACGAGGTGGAGGAGGAGGAGGAGGAGGAGGAACCGGGGGAGGTCTGGCACGTGCTTCCGCGTCGGCGCCAACGCGGCCCTTGCACTAATTTTAGGCAGGTTTACGTAATCATTTGTTCGCGCGCCGTGGCGACATGGCGCAGACAGCGCGTGCTATCGACAAAAGCAACACTCTTCGGTCTCCTCCTGTCACTGTCGTCGTCGTCCCCTGCTCCCTGCCACCTTCCCTCTGCTGCTGCCGCGCTGACGGTTCGGCTCCCCGCGTGTCCTTTTCCTGCTCTTCGTCCCCGCCCCCATGTCCTCCTCAAGATTGGGCCTTCGCTCTTCGTTTTTCTGTTATTGTCTCGTGAATCGTGCCACTTGAGCGCATCCCATGTAATTTGCGCAACGTATAACGGCGCCTGCACTGTCATTGTCCTGGCAAGTTGGCAAGTTTGGGCACGTCACAGGGTAACGGGCACGCGTGGGGAATCGTGCGAGAACCCACGTATACAGACGTAGGGCATATGTCAAAACACCCGACGAACGATTATCGAATGGCCTTCGGCACATCCCGCCACCGTACCTGGGTTGCGGGTCTGAGGCTACTCGGATGGTTGATGGGGTCTCGTGCGATGCGTCTCGGGGGCGTTGTCTTTGGGGCCTCCTGCGGGCCTCGTGGGGTTGTTTTGCGGCCGTCTCGGGGCTCCCTGGGGTCTGTTGGGGGTTCCTGGGGACAACCGGGAAGCGTCTTGGAATGGATGGCTCGAAATGTCCGTTCGGGTTCCCCCTCTGGCCCCCCCCCCTGGGGCTGTTTTGGGACCCTCATGGGCCGTTATGGGGGCTTCTTGGGCCGTCTTGGGGCCCGCGTGGGTTTTCTTGGAGCCCTCTTGGGGGGCCCTTGGCCAGTCTTGGGGCGAATTTGAAGGCCTCTTGGGCCGTCTGGGACGTTGCGAGCGCCCAAAAGGCACATAATGTGCAAGCACGTTCCCCAGGGGAGTGGAACGATTTTTGCTTCTGGAGGCCCTCTTGGGACGCCTCTTGGGTTGTTTTTTGGGGGGGGCGTCTTGGGAGTTTCTTGGGCCGTCTGGAGGCCAGCGTGGGCGTTGTGGATCGATATTTCAGCGACTCGTGGACCGCCCCACGGGCCTCTTGGGGCCCCCATTGACCTGTTTTGCGGCCCTCTGCGCTCCTGGGGGGAGGGGTTTGGGGAGAGGGGAACATCTCACACGCCGATGAGACCCAAGGGGTCGGCGGATTCGTTTCATTGCCCAGAGGTGCAGAATTTGTTAGTGAACGCTCCAGCGCGAAGTCAGACCCGCTTCTGTGAGACCGTAGAGTAGCGGCGACGTAAGTTGCGCTTGCTTGACTGGTGGATCCAGCTCGCCTCTGTTTTTTTTCCCGGGGAGGCAGCCTGCGCGACAATGTCTTCGTGACGACAGGCGCGCCTCCTGCGTTTCACGCGGGCGGTGCAAGTTCCCCCCGTTCTGTCGTGATACCGTCCATGATGACAGCATAGGTCAAACGAGCACTTCATGATGCGAAGCTTCTGAGATCTGAGCGGATGTTTCGGGTCGGCTCTGGATCCCCCCCCTCCCGCGCACACACTCCCAGGCGGTGGCCCTCGCGCGGCTGTCCGAAAGTGTATGTTCCTGCCGTCTTTTGGTTCTCTTGGTATTGATCCGTTGAGATAGCGATGTGCGCAATTCCTCAACGATTTCGACGTCCAGACCTGGGCGTGGCCGAGAAACTGAGGCAGGTTGGTGAGACAATTCCTCGGGCCGCGTTGTTTTTGTTGGGGTCGCATGCTATGGTGCAGACAAGCGCTCGCGCCCGCCAGGAGCCGCGAAGAGAAGGGGCTGGGGAAGAGTATGAGGTTGGGCTTATGATTCGTTCTGGTGCTGCGATATCGAAGCCAGCTCTTATGCATCCGATTCGGCTAGGAAGGGGCGATAATGCGGAACCGGGTTGGGCCCCTTCTAGACCTCCCGATCCCGCAGCGGGGGTCGGCGGCGGAGCCCGCAGGGCTCGAGGAGGGAGCGAGCCCCCTTTTCCAGTCCTGCACCCAGGAACCAGTTCGCCTCAAGCCGGCTCGAACCGAGCCAGCAGCAGTGAGAGCGAGAGAAGAGAGAGAGAGAGAGAGGGAGGGGAAAAAGAGTACATAAGGGGTTTAAGTGCAGAGCAGGGGGCATATCCAATCCGAGGGGCATGTTTTTGTCCACACGGATTCTTTATCTTTATGGATATGCGCCCGCCTCGACAGCCGACCTCTGATAGGCAAGCCGTCCAAAAACCCTTGACAGCCGACCTCTGATAGGCAAGCCGTCCAAAAACCAGTCACTCAGAATTCCAAGTCAAAACTCGCACGTGTATGGCGGGAGCGACCCGCGAAAATGAAACGTAAAACACAACTTCCTCTCCATAAACTCTGTTCGCAGCTAACACTGTCGCTAGAACGTTCTCAGCAACGCTATCCTTACCTTGGGAGTCATCGCATTCCGAGGATGGGGAGAGAGGGAAAATAATTAGCACAGCACTACGCTCGAGCGTTCAAGCTCGCAGCAGCCTCGGCACAGCACCGGCGTAGACAATTAGAGAAGAAAAGAGATGTCCAGTATCACTCACTATGGCTCAAGGACTCCAGGTGTGAACCTGCCATCCTTGGCCAACTCCTTCAGTCTGGATTCCCAGCGCTCTCGAGCCACACGCCGGGCCGTCTTCACCATTTCCTCACGAAACTCAATACTCCACGTGCCGCGCTCCAGCGCCTCTCTGAGATGGTCCGTCGGCATATCCTTCGTCAGCACGTCGCTCAACATGCTACTCCCATCCGTCCAGCATGCCATCGTCTGTGGCCTATCTAAAATCTCTCTGATGCTCGCCAGCCCCAAATGCACCGACTTCTGGGCCGAGCTCCCCACGCCAGCGTCCGAGTTGAGCCTCTCATGTCCATTCTTGCTATCCGTCACTACCGTCATTGGCACCTGCCAGCCCGACAGCTTCATACCTGCGCCCCTTGCCACAGGGCCGTACAGCATCTCTGCGATCTGGTCGCGTATGCTTTGGGCGACGTCCACGGCGTCACCCACGGAAATCACCTCCGCAGCGTAGGAACTCCTCGCCGCGCGCTTCAACTTGTGGCTCTTGCCCTCCAGCAACGAGAACCGGCCCACGCCGCCGTCCACGAGCGCGCGGTCCGCGAACAGGATGAGGAAACCAGCCTGGGTGCCTATCTTCTCGGTCGCCGGGTCCGACTGCAACGCCGTCCCGTCACTCATCACGTTGCCCAGCGAGCTGTCCGACACCACCACCAGGCCGAACCTCTGGAGGTCGATCGGTCGCATCGTGATCTTCAACGTCGAGCTGCGCTTCAACTCCCTCAGCAACTGGTTCGCCTTGATCAGCGTCGAGATCCTCGGGCCCTTCTTGCGTCCTTCTCGCGCTGCAGCACTGCCAGGTCGTACGAGTAGTCCACACGCAGCTTGGTCACCAGCCAGTTGATCTTGCCGACCACCTGCTGATACTGCTTCCACTCCATCTCGTTCATGGTCTGGTGTGCCGCCGTGCGCCGTGCCCTGGGTACAGTCACAGGCTCCAGGCCAGCTGCATATTCCATCATGTATCGCGATGCACGATGGTGGGCATCAAACAATAATACCATAGTGGGAATGGTAGAGACCACTAAACCTACGACTTCTCTGGTCGAGCTTAAGATTGGAATATATTTTGGTACGGCTGGTATGTACGAAAATGTGGTGCGCGAGAACCACGACTCCTTACATCGTGTATCCCGGCGCCCCGTTGCAACAATACTATGTTTCCAATTGGCTTTCGAATGCGGTATCATTGATTTGGACAGCATGAAGCACAACGCATTCTTACACTGGGCACCGGCACGCACGATACATATGTCATCAGTTCGCGACGACAATTGTGTTTATGCGATCGTACCCCAACAGACAGAACGTCGAGAAATTCGACGATATAATCCGGTCCGCTGGGCCGGTCGGAAGCCAAGCCCATACATTCAACACTACAGGGTTTTGCCGACCCATGGCCGTCGTATTGGAGAGGCTTCGCACCCGGGACCGGTGTTGCATGCGATATTTTACCGACTATCTCCGACAATGGGGTCCGCATCGGAGAAGCCAACAACCCAGGACCGCCTTTCTCTCGAGATCAAGCAGTGGAAAGCTTGAGAAATTTGGGTATCTTTGGCGTCGCTGCCACTGGTGCTACGGAGACCCGGGCAGCAAATGGGGGAACAACACGACATAACGGGGGCCCTACGACAGAACCAGCGACTACAATACGACGGCCTCCGACAAAGGTTCCGACCACAATACTACCACCAACCATTTCGGTTCGTTCTCCGACGGCGCTCCCCTATCCCCACCCCTCCGCTCGCGCCATCCCGACCCAGCCCACAACTACAAACAGATTGCCCGGACATAATCCCGCACGTATTCCTATGGAGGAACCGCTCTCCCCGGGCAAGGCCGAATACGACCCCCCTCTGCCTCGGCCCGCCCCCTCTCCTCCGAATCCCTCGGTTGGCCCCCTTCCCCGCCCTCCTCCGGCTGCCCCGCCCCTTCTGCCTCCGAATGCCGCCCCGCCTCCGATACCACCTCCAAGAGCTACGATCTCACGTGGGGACGCCGTCTCCGCTCTCCGATCGCTTGGGATTTCACCGAGACCGCCGACCCCGGTCACAGGCTGGCCGACGCAACGCGGCAGTCCGCTACCCCGAGATCAACCCGATGGCATGTTAGCGTGCAACATGGGGGCCATGCGCGATGTCGAAGACGACGACGACCGCGACGGCCAATTAGGAGCAAGGGCGAGATCAGTTCCTGACGGAACCGTGCCACCGGACCACCCACCGGACGCGCCACAAGGAGCTAACAGTGCGCCAATTGAAGATTTCCCGCACCTTCCCCCGCTGCCCGAGGCCCGCATCGCTGTGTTCAAGTTGGTCAACATGTTGACGAATATCCCCCCCCCCCCCCCCGCAGCTCCCGACTACCTCGTCTTGGAGAACGCACGACGGCAACGATGGTCATTCTTCAACGTTAAATTGATTTGGGCTGCGGCGGGAGCCCAGGATACACATCCGTTATTGCAATGGTTCTGCAACATGGCGACTACGTCCCCTGAGACTATGCGTGGTACACCAAACAACATCACGGCTGATATGCTGATGACGTCATTCAGGGCGTGGCGACAAGCATTCCGGGATGCTGGGATCGACGACGGGGAAGGATTGACACGGTGGCGTGCCAATCAAGGGTGTGATACTCGAGGCGTCATTGTTGGGAACTAGATGGATAAAGCGGCGCAAAGACGGGCCATCGGCTATGTTTTTACGATGTCCTCGGAGGCGCGGTACATACAAGAGATGCACGGGGCTACGGTGGTCTGTTTGCATAGGAATCCGGCAGCGCATTATTATTTATCACACCATTTGTCCCAATTCGTGACAGGCCGCCCTCCTGCCCGGCCACGCCTGAACCCTTCTCAACCGCCCCCCGGCGATGAAACAGGAAACGCAGATCAACAGCCACGTGGAGCACTCCGACTGTCAGCTGGCGTTGCCCGCTTGCCAGTTGGTTGGGCTCACATCCACCACGTTGACATGATGGTGGAGATCGACAAGAAAATACCTACGGTCAAAGCTATTCCGAAATGCATTCGGGACGCCTACTTGCGCATTCTGACACAAACACTAGGCGCAGTCCACGCTGCCACTGCCAAATGGAATACGGGGCAAATGTATGAGGCAGATTGCGCAGCCACATGGGCCCCATTGATCCTCCTGCCCCGCCTCCCCCTTCACCGCGCGACCACGGGGGGGGATGCAGGCGCTCGGGAACTCAAGCGCCGCATTGCTCCATTCGATGGATGAGCTTGGGGCGTTCTCCTTGCTATAGCCCGAGATCAACGCGACCATAAGCGCAACGCGAAAGCAAAGACCGCGGGCACTCCGGATGCAAAACGCATCGACAAGGCCATGGCGTTGGCACAGCATGGGGAACTAAGCCGCGCAGCACGGACACTGACCTCGCCCCCGCTCGCGCCCGGGACCCGAACCACGCTCGACGACCTGACGCACCCGCAGCCCCGACCAGAGCTTCCAGCCGAAGACTTACCCCGAGAAGCAGACATTTTTCCAACCTTTGCGACCGCTCACGCTCGACCGACATATCTTTGTGACAGTGCTGCGCACAGCTAGGAAAGGGCTGAGCTCAGGATTCTGGGGAGGACGGCACGAGTGCTACAACATATGCTTGGGGGATGAAATTGGTTTCGAAGCTCTCTGCGACGTCGCGGAACAACTAGCCCGGGCCCGCGTCCTTAGTGAAGTAGTTGATGCTTTGCGTGTGTCGGCTCTTGCGGCGACCAGTAAACCTGACAGCCGAGTGCGGGGCATTGCAGCCGCGGATGCGTTACGACGTGTGGTTGCTAAAGCCCTGGCGTGGCAATTTCAGGACGCTTGGCGCACGGTGGTTCGTCCTCATATCTTTGGCCTTTCAGACAGGAGTGGCGCAGATGCAGCCGTCCATTTACTACCATACATAACGGACGTATATCCCAACAAAGCGATTCTCAGCGTGGATGGCGCGGGGGCGCACGACCAAGCATGCTGAGCTTGTATGTTCGAACATCTGCTTCGAGACCCTGCGCTGCATGGATTGCTCCCTTTTCTTAGACAGTGGTACGGGGCTCAATCCGAATTCAGATGGGCGAGTGAAAATTGGCGGTCCCATGTGGTTTTTCAAGGCGATGGTGGGGAACAAGGAGATGCTTTAATACCGGGTTTATTTTGCTTGGCCATGCAACCAGCACTGCAGGCAATCCAGGTTCGCATACTTCCAGGGGCCGAGGTCGTCGCATACCTGGGCGATGTGCACGTGACGTGTGACCCCGAGGACGCCGCGTTCATTTTGGAAAATGAAAAAATCGAATTGCGCAACATATGCCATATTGATATGCACGCGGGAAGATTGCGAATTTGGGGGCCTACCGCCTACCCCGTCCGAGTGTCCCAACGGCCTACGGGTGGCCGCCCCGGGCGCTCGGAAAGCGGATGCGCCGTTAGCGGAACCGAGGAGTGAAAGTCTTGTG